TGCAGGGAGGAAAGGGGATGGGAGACCTCCTCCCCCCCGGGGGGGGGGTCGCATTTCCTATATCTGAGTCCCCTCGTGTACTTCAAAAGAGAGATGGGATGGTATAAACGAGAGCCTCTACTGCTCTTCTCCACTCTAACAAGAGCAGAAAATTGAATGCTGCGTGTGCCAACCGGGAAGCTGGCATTCTGACATTCAAACGGGGCTCGACCCCCCATAAATTCCTCCGGGAACGGGTCCGCACTGCCTCAACAGGCATCCTACCTGCGCCCATGAAAGCCGAGCCCTGCGTCTGATTCCTGGTGCGGGCGGGGAGGGGGGGTCAGGAAGGGAGGACCCCCGCCCCCATCCAAGGCAAGCCCACAAGCCACGGCGCTTTGCACATGCACGTGAGATCTCCGGCAAGGCCCGCCCGGCCTCCCAGGGTCTCTCCGCTGGAGGCGGCATCTCTGCCCAGACTTCCACGGAGGGGCCAGGGACAGCAGCCTGGGGTTGGGGGGAGCGAGAGACGCTGGGGGGGGAGCAGAGAAACCCCACCGCCCCCGTCTTCGCAGACAGGGGGGAGGAGCAGCCCTTCCCGCCGCCCTCCCCTCCCCTCCCCTCCCCTCCCCTCACCTCGGGCGGCCATGGCAGGAGAGGCAGGAAGGGCAGCGAAAAGCCTCACGTCGCCTTTGGGCAGCCATGCTGCGCGTGACGCCAGAAACGAGGCGCCTGCGGCGCGGAGAAGTGACGCACTCTCGGCCCTCGCCATGTTGGTAGTGTCCAACCCAGAGAGGGGACCTGCCCTTCAGCCATGTTGGGAGTGGCCTGTCTCCGCGCAGGCGCGTGTCTAGAGCTACGAAAGTAAAGAGCCGGATTGGATTGCGGCATCCACAAAGAGCCGCGGCAAAACCAGAGCCAGCCCCAGCCCCAGCGCCAGCCCGTGTCCCAGGAGGGGCGAAGGGGCTCCGTCCCCGATCTTCCCAATAGCGGGCGGGGGGGGCGGCCGCAGCGTGCGGCCCGTGCGTGGGGTGGGCTTCGTGCAGCCGGGGATCCCGGTGTGGCTCTACGCTCAGCAACGGAGGCGTCAGCGGCGCGCCTGGAGTGCCCTCCTGTGGCCACTGCCAGGAATTAGAAATAATAATAATAATAATTATTATTATTATTATAACATTTCTATGCCGCCCCTTGCCGAAACCTCGGGGCGGCTTACAACATGATAAAATACATTGAAATACAATAGTACATACTAAATTACCATTAAATATAACAATACAAAAAATACATTGATTTACAAATACAAAATTAAAATTATCAGTATAAAATAAAAATATAGGAGGAGAAAGAGAAGGAAGAAGAAGTTGCCCAGGCCAGATCATATGTTTTAACAATTGAAATGATGTTTAAATAAAAAGGTCTTTACCTGGCGCCGAAAAACCAGTAACGACGGTGCCAGGCGGACCTCTTTGGGGAGTGAATTCCATAGGTTGGGTGCCACCGCAGAGAAAGCCCTCCTCCGGGTACTTACTCTCCTAATTTCTTTCATGGAGGGTTCCCGGAGAAGGGACTCTCCCGCAGATCTCAAAGGGCGGTCGGGCATATACGGACGTAAGCGCTCGTGCAGGTAGCCAGGACCCAAGCCGTTTAGGGCTTTGTAGGTCATAATCAACACCTTGAATTGGGCCCGGGCTTCAATGGGAAGCCAGTGAAGCTGACGGAGGACTGGAGTCCTGTGAGCATAACGCCCCGTCCCCGTCAGCAACCTGGCAGCTCTATTTTGCACCAATTGAAGTGTTCGGACCGTCTTCAGGGGAAGCCCCACGTAAAGCGCGTTACAGAAGTCTAGGCGGGAAGTCACCAGCGCGTGTGTCACCGTCGCCAGGCAGTCGTACTCCAGGTAGGGGCGCAGCTGATTAATCAGCCGAAGCTGAAGGAAGGCGTTCCTCGCTACCGCTGTCACCTGAGCTTCCAAAGAGAGCTCCGGGTCGAGGAGTACTCCTAAGCTGCGGACCTTATCCCTAAGAGGGAGTGTTGCACCATTCAGGACCAGGTCAAATCCACCCTCTCCGAAACCCGATCCGCCAACCAACAGGACATAATGCAACGTGATTAGATCCGTGCCCAGACCCTAAACGATACCCATTTTGGTAAACTGGAACAGCAAATACGGCCTCCTGAAACGAATTAAGTTCGAAGTTATAAACAAGGTGTGGTTAAAAAAAGGTGAATGTTTAAATGAAAAAAAATCCAGTAAAGGACACATTAGCATTAATCCCTCTGAAAATATTCTCCCTCTTCAAACACCTCCCTCCCACCCCCATCCGGGGCCACCTCACAGTCGAAGCCCCAAAACTAATCAATTTGTGTCAAAAAGACATAACGAGCAGATGAAAGATAAATGGATTCCCACCAAGGCACACTGAGCCGATGGATGATTAATGGATTCTTTCCAAGGCACGACTAGCCGATGGAGGATTAATGGATTCCAGCTAAAGGCACGACGAGCCAATGGACGATTAATCGATTTGAGCCTAGGCACGACGAGCCAATCACAAATTAATGGATTCCCACCAAGGCACGACTAGCCAATGGAGTATTAATGGATTCTAGCTAAGGCATGATGAGCCAATGGAAGATTAATCGATTTGTGCCAAGGCAGGAAGAACCGATGGAAGATTTAATTGATTTGTGCCTAGGCATGACAAGCCGATGACCAATTAATGGATTCCCACCAAGGCACGAGCAGCCAAAGGAATCTCTCTGCCATCCTTCCACCACTTGGGGGTTTCTCAAATCACCATGACATTAGAGTGCGAGCCTCTGCATTCTCTGTGTTTCTAGTGAAACAGCTGGCCAGGACGTCTCCAATTATATTATATTGTTATTATTTATTTGTTGTTGTAAGCCGCCCTGAGGCTTCGGCAAATGGGGCGGCATAGAACCTTTCTAAATAAATAAACGTCATTTCAGACATACAACAAAGTTAGCTCAACTTCAGCAACTTGCCATATACATTGTTGCTAGACACTGCATCGTTAGCAAGCCAGGACAGGGTTTGCAAAACTTGTAGGAGACTAAACTGTTTGCTGAAAGTATCTCATACAAAAGCTCAATGCTTTACAACCTGCTTTACATTTCATTCTGGTAAAAGTGGATTGGGGGAATCGTTCTTTTGGTTCTCCAACTGAGGCTCTCAAAGACGGCAGGAGAAGCAGCCCTTCCCGCCCCTCGGGCGGCCATGGCAGGAAAGGCAGGAAGGGCAGCAAGGAGCCTCATGCAGCCTTCAGGAAGCCATGCTCGGCGTGACGTCAAAACCGAGGCGCCTGCGCCCCTCGCCATGCTGTTAGTGTCCGACCCAGAAAGGGGGGGGGGGG